CCAAGGAGGACGCGGAACGCGAAAGTCTGGGCATCCCAAACCCCTTGGCGGAGTTCACTGCCCCGCATGAGCGTGACGTCCTCAGAGCCCGGTACCATTGGGACCCAGTCAAGAAGGTTTTCGAGACGAACGCGGTCACGAGGAGTTCATGAGACTGCTGGTAATTTTAAATTTACCCCCTAATTTTAGTTTCTGATCAATTCGACTGCACGTTTAGTCATATTTATAAACGATCCTTGTTCCTTTTGCGGAGAGAGCAGCATAGGATCGCGGCCGAAAGGTGTTGGCGAGGCCCAAGTGGGACACCCCATTCAACCGGGCCTTGAACATATTGAAAGGACTCCCGGTGGACACTTGGCCTTCGTATGGGCACGTGCACGACGTCGGAGACGACACCACGTGGAAGAAGTACTACCGTGAGATCAGGAGGAGAGAAAGGAAAGACGAAGGTTAACTAAAGAAAACATCAATAAGAAGGTTGCGATTGCGGTTGATAAGAAATCAACTGAGACAGTCAAAGCAGTGGTAGCTGCCGCAAAAGAGGAAATGACAGCTTCGTATGGTGTGTTGCTTCCGGCTATCGTCAATTGGAGCAGGGATACGAACCAACGCCTCAAGAAGTACTACATTATGTATGATGAGACATGCCATGTAACTTGTATAGCTATATCGCGTGATTATGATGTGACGACATGATTTGTGTTAGATGATATGATGAGACTATTATGTGTATGATATGATGAGCATATTGCATGTTTATGATATGAATAGAATACTGTATGAAACTTGTACAGAAACATCGCAAATACATAGCAAAAAAAGATACGAGAAAATATAGTAGTAGCACTCTTTAGCGTTGGACAGGAAAACGCTACTACTAAAGCACTTAGCAGTAGCGCTGGTATAAAAAACGCTACTGCTAAGTAGGTATAGCAGTAGCGCATGTCAAAACGCGCTACTGCTAAATGTTAGATGTAGCGCCTTATCAGTAGCGTGGGTACCCACGCTACACATACACTAAATACCTGCGCTACTACTAGACTTTTCCCTAGTAGTGCATATTTATCTAGTTAAATAGATTACCTAGAACTACGTGCATGTCCTATACACCGGGATGGAGGGAGTAGTAACATAATGCACCTCAAAATAAGTTTGCTTATGTTCATCTCATTAATGAGGAGAGAGATGTTTCTGGTAACATAATATGTTATTATAATATAATGCATTTCATGGAAAAATGAGTCTTCATCCAAACAGATGAAGGCTTTGCATGATACTACACATTCTTCTCCGGCACGTTCTCGAATGGGTCCATGCATCGGTGGCGGAGAAAAAGGATAGGAATTGAATGGAGAGCGGCAAGATGAAAAAGAAAAGTGAGGGATTTTACCGCGAAAACAATGTGGCCAGCTACAAAGCGTGGCTCCGCCTTAGTTTTGGATGGGTCTAGGGTGTCAAAATTTGACGTGGCTAGTGTCTGGACTTCCTCAAAGCCCACTATTTTGTTTCCTGTTTGCAAGAAATGACGGTTCAAACTGCTCTGTGAATCAATTGGGTCACCATTGAATGGCTTATGGGCAGCAGACAGCTTTAGAGCGTCTAGACTGTCTTGCCTTTTGTATTCCCCTTCCTTCTAATAAAAGAAAGGCCTATGGCCCTTTGAGATGAATGGCTTGCGGGGTCTGAAGAGTTGCCTCCGAACAGATATAGGCTGTTTGAGGGTCGGCTTGAAGACATCCCAAGTTAGTTCCCACTATTACCAGCTCTAGGTATTAGGTATATAGGATGTCACGGGTACCCTGGTCCCTGGGTGTTGCTGATCTTATCGGCAGCCTCAACTGTTAGTGCTAAATATGGTTAGTTTAGGCCTAATTATACTGTGTGTTAGGCGCATAATTTAGGACATACACAAATAGCATATTTTCTTGTTGTCTTATTGATTGTACTACTCCCCCGGATCAAGCTCCATGCCACTCCCTTTCCATCACCACATGCAAGTTCCTTCAGAAAGGTAGGGCCAGAAAAATATATAGTTGACTATTCCCGGCCGGTTGGATTATGTACGCTCAGGCTCAGGTCTGCTACAATTGGTTGTCGTGCATTTTGTCACTGCATGTGCCGCAGGCAGCGTCGACCAGGCACACGAATCTATACATCATACATCTGCTACAAATTAATTAAGTCGTCTGGATCAAATATCATTATCCACGGCCATATACGACAAGGTTGTGGCGGCCAGTAGGCCTCACTTGGAAAGAAATGATACTCCCTCGGTTCCTAATTGTAGTGTGCATAAGTTTTTCACGGAAATTCCGCAATGTAGTGCGTACTTCTAGCTGCGAGCGGTTTTGGACGAAAACACCCTCCCACCGAGCAGCGCAGGCTCCACCGCATCGTCTCTCTCCCTTATCTCTTCTCGCAGCTTTCCCCCCACCTCGACCTCCTGTAGTATGAACGCGGAGGGCCAGCTCCAGCTCGGGCGAGCCCACACAGGGTCGGCGGCGCAAAGCAGGGCCACCAGCCGCAGGAGCTCCGCGAGCGCGCGGAGCTCATCATGGAGCCGTCGAAGAGGCTGGGGCGCTGGGCGAGTTTCTTGGACATGCATAGAGGGGCAGCACGCCGGGGTCGCGGTGGCTGCGGCTCACAAGAACCAGAGCCCAGAGGCGTCGCCGATGCTGTTGTTCGAGGATGGGAGAGTGCGACTCCGGGCCCATGGCCGGTATCTCCGCGTCTGCCATAGCCGATGTCTTCGCGGCCACCACGTGCAAGAACGGCGTATCCGCGTCGAGCGCGTACATGGCCGGCAGCGACGCCGCTGCTCGAGGATGGGAGTGCGCCTCCGCGCCCACAGCCGGTGTCCCCGCATCCGCAACGACTGACGTCTTTCCGTCCATGGCCGGCGGCGGCACGTCCTGGGCCCGCATCCCTGGCCGGTGTCGTCTTCGTGTCCCCGTGTCCATGGACGGCGGCGCAGAGCAGGTTCACCAGCAGCGGGAGCATGCGCAGCTGCGCACCGCATCCTGGCAGCAGCGGGAATCGACTGGCGGCGGCGGGATTGGACCAGCGGCAAGGAAGGTGTTGTCGCCACTCCGAGAACGCCGCCGTTCTTGCAGATGGTGGCAGCACGCCGGCGTTGGCTTCTTGTGCGGCAGCGGCAGCGGCTTAAAGGAGCCAGAAGAGCCATCCACGCCCACCGCGTCCAGCGTCCATGGCCAGCGTCGCCGTGTCCTTGGTCAGCATCCCGCTTCCCTGGCCGGTTTTTTGCTGGCCGTAGACGCTCGCGTCGGACACACATACCAGTGTACTAGTACTGCTAGGAGGGACAAACCATGGAGGAGCGAGGGCTTTCTGGTCCAAAAATAAACGCCAGCACACACATTGGTACCTGCGCTGAAATCTATGCGCACTAGATTGAGGAACGGAGGGAGTAGCTTAGCTAGGGTGGTTAATTTGTTTTTTTTTTAAACAGAGAGGGTGGCTAATTTGTGGCGGGAACACGCCATGGTGATGAGGGAAAAACCATAAGGTAAAAGTTTCTGCCACTAATTGTGATGTTTTCTCCAATATGATTTATGAAAATTTGTTTGACAAACTGTAGATAACCGAGTTCCGCTGGTTTTGGTAGTGTGCATCATACTATCCATATCTAAACAAATCTAAGACAAAAATTTTGGAACGGAGAGAGTACTTTTGTGGTCAATAAACCTTTTATTGCCAGAATATTTTTCGCTGAAATGGTGTCTTCTTAATTTTCGTTCACAATTATCTATGTTTTTTCAATAATAATTACCTAACATTTGCTAGACTTTATCGGGTGTATTACATGCTTCTTTGCCTGCTCTCTGTTTCATTATTAAACTTGACCACAAGCTTCATAACTGCGATTTCATAAATGGTGACCGTAGCTCCTTTGATGCAAAAATATATATAACTTTGAATTATTAGGTCGTTACGCATTCGTATTTTATGATTGTGCTCGCAGGGCTAGCTGTCCCACCCACTGCACACCAGGTGAAAAAGAACCTAGCAAAAAGATGAATTTCCACACTTGCATACTAGAATATGGGCACAATTATTTAGCCCCTGCTTGGAACACGCGAATTCTTTTGCGAAAGGGGGAGGGGCAGGTATCCCCTGGTGGTATCCACGGTGTTTGCTCATTCATATAGTACTATTTTATACCGACTGCATTGCTAGTCCAGGCGAAGTCAATGTACTTAGATTTGGTCGTTGTTGTGGTTCATGGAAAATTGTGGCAAAAGAAGGTGGCCACTGAGCTCGGGCTCACAGTTTAATCCGTCGATCGATCAATCGGAAGGAGCAAAGAAGGACCATGTAAACGTGTTAATTACAGTACACTACAGAAATAAGTACACTATGCAATGCGCGCTATTCCAATTAGTCCACACACGCTTGCAGACCGAGCTCATATATGGATGAAAACGACTTACATTTGGCACGACCGATGGCGTCGATGGGACTTTACCATTTTACCCCGACCTGGAGCATGGCCACATATGGTGGTGACGAGGTCGTGGTGACATGAGATTGCCTCTGCCAGCCTGACGCCACTAACGTGCGTGCATGAGTGCGTATAATTAACTCTTGAGCACGATGGATTACTGGCCAGATACTTGCTTAATTTGTTCACAGGGTAACTGGTGAACACAAACGACATTGACCATGCATGCACTCATAGAGATGAAATCAAAACCTAGCTGCCGATGTACTCGATGTGTATGTGTCAGTCGTTTTGTTTAGTTGCCATCTCAATTATCGCATGTGCTCGATGCCGATCCATCCCCTGACCCCTCTTGCCTACGTCGCATGCAGCTGATTTTATAACTTATAAGGCGCAATTTTATGTGCAAGTGGCAGGCCCCATTAGTTTACGCGGTTACATAGGGGTACCATATATACTAAAACCGTGGACGCACAGTTAGCTGCTTAATCTGACTCTGAGATCGAGGCGAGGAAAGTTAGTTGAGAACTTGAGAGAGATGAAGCACATCAAGAAAAGCAGCAGCTCGTCCAGGCTTGTCTGCGGCGACGACCGTTCGGCGGCGGCGTTGAAGGAGATGGCCAGGGAGCAGTCCCTGGTGACGCAGCTGCGCGCTGTCGTGCTGCCGGCGATCCAGCTAGCCGGCGGCGAGCGCGCCGAGGTCGTCGCCCAGATGTTCGAGAGCATACTGGACTGCTCGGCCAAGGCCATAGCCACGCTGAAGCTTCTTCGTCTCGATCATTCTCAAGTTGATGATGCGGTGCTGCCGACGGCGATGGTGGACGACAAGACGAGAGTCACGAAGATCGTCACTGGTGACGGAGAGAAGGACAGCGACGACAATGCCAAGCCCCTTCGCCGTCAGCGCAAGAGAAGGTGAGGAGCACTGCATATTTGGGTATGTTGAATAATCGAGAAAAAAACAGCTAATGGTTTTTATGCTGTGAGCAGGAGATTAGCCGATGACTCCGTGGCGCTTGAAACGCCTGTTCCTCACTACGATGGCCACCAATGGAGGAAGTATGGTCAGAAGATCATCAACCACACAAAGCATCCAAGGTATACAAGTAGATATACGCATAATTTTTGTTGCGTATACATCAAAGATCACAAATGGAAATGCAAAAAGAATACCTTCGTGGTACAACAACTCACTGGCGTGGTTTTGGTTGAGCAGGAGTTACTACAAATGCACCTACAAGCAAGAACAGGACTGCAGAGCAACGAAGACGGTGCAACAGCAGCAACAAGACGCCGGCGTCGACGATGACCCCGCCATGTACGCCGTCGTCTACTACGGTCAACACACCTGCAAGCCCGGCCAGACCGATGCTGCCGTCGTCGAGACAGCAAGCACCGGTAGGTGCGGTGAAGGCGGGGGAGAGGAGCATGCACGGAGCAACAGCCAGTGCAGCAATATCTCAGTGACTTGCTCTTCGATTGTCGTTGACCACCACCAGACGACGACGGCGGCGTCCCTCGAGAGCAGTTGCAACCTGCTCGACATGGCGGGAGACTTGGCTACTCCAGAGGTGAACCAGTATGATCAGCTGTTTGACGTGGATTCGTTTTCGCCGTTGGATTTGGGGACGGCCTGGGCGACGGATGTGAGCGGGCATGGGCTCCAAAAGTTTGGAGGCTGGTAATAATAAAATTCTGATCACGTCCATGGATGAGTTAAATAGTCGATACGTGAAAACATGTTGTGTAAGCATCTTTATTTTGTAAAAGTACTCTCCCCGTTTACAAACATAAGATATTTTGGACATTTCAATATGGATTATCAAAATTGCTATTCCTACGGATAACTTCTACGAAAACTTTACATAGCGTGCGTGAGAGAGGCAGTAACCGTTATGAGAAAAAACAAGGGAATAACGGCATCGGATTTTTGGCTCTGGAAACATATACTCTCGGATAACAGTAAAAATCAAAATAGATGTTTGATCATAATCAGGAAGCACCCGCGTCGCTCTTCAGGGGAGCGGCTCGGGTGACCTAACCCCGCCGCCGCCGCCACCCCCTCATGCTCCCTCCTCCCTCGCCGCCGTCGGGCGTCCCCGCCGGGCAAAGCCCGTGCGGCTGCCGGCGGCGGCAGGCCTTTTCTCTCTCGTCTCGCGTGGAGGCCAGCCCTGGACGGCGCGCCGTGCGTCGTGGAGCTGCACGCCGGCGCGGATCTGGCCCTCCGGCCTCTTCTGCGGCGCGGTGGCGCTGGCTGCTGGGGCGGCGGCCCCAGGGAGCGGCGGCCCCCTCCTCTCTGTCTTCCTCACGGTGGAGGAGCGGCTGCTGACCGTGTTGGCGGCGGATCGAGGCTTTTCTGCTCGGATCTGGCGGGCGCGCGCCGTCGGCGGGATGCGGCAGTGCTGGCCGTCCTGGGCCGCGTGGGTGACAGGGCGGCTGCGCGTGGTGGAGGCTCCGGCGGCTCTGGTTGGCGGCGATGGAGTTGTTGATCCCATCCTGCCTGGCCGGAGACGGCCCTCTCGGCCGGACTGGTGTTTGGTGAGGTGCAGTGGTGTGCCCTGGCTAGCGTGGTGCTGGCTGGGGCTGCTAGTCTCCCCATGCCAGTGGCCTCTGCGTGGTGTAGGTGGCGCTGCCGGTGGTGGGTCTGGCGCTACTCTCTCCCGGCGTCGGTCCGTTGGTGGATGGTGGAGGGCCGGTGCCGCGGATCTGGTGCAGGCTCGGTGTGGTGGTGGCCCGTGGCGGTCTGCAACAACGGCTGGTCGCGCGGATGCGTACCCGGCGGCTCCAACGCTTGGAGCTCGTCGGGCGACGCGGGTTGGGCAGCGGCCCGGTGTGGTTGCGGCTCTGGCCGTGGATGGCTCCACGTGTTGGGAAACGCAGTAATTTCAAAAAAATTCCTATGCACACGCAAGATTATGGTGATGCATAGCAACGATAGGGGAGAGTGTTGTCTAGATACCCTTGTAGACCGTTCGCGGAAGCGTTATATCAACGCGGTTGATGTAGTCATACGTCTTCACGATCCGACCGATCCAAATACCGAAAGCACGGCACCTCCGAGTTCTGCACACGTTCGGCTCGGTGACGTCCTCGCCTTCTCGATCCAGCAAGAGGGGTGAAGTAGTAGATGAGTTCCTGCAGCACGACGGCGTGTTGACGGTGTTGGTGAAGAAAAATCTCCGCAGGGCTTCGCCTAAGCACTACGAAAACTAGGACGGAGGATAAACTAGAGGGGATGGGGTTGCCGGCACACGGCTTGGTGTTTCTTGATGTCTTGGGTGCTAGCCCTACCCCTCTATTTATATGTTGAGCCTTGGGGTCGAAACTTGGAGTAAAAGCCTCGACAAAGTCGGTTTCACCCGAAAGGCAAGAGTCCTTCTCGGACTCCAGGGCCAGACGCCAGGGTTCCCGGCGTCTGGACCCAGACGCCAGGGACCCTGGCTTCTGGCCCCTGGACTCCGCAAAACTTCCTTTTGCGCTTTCCAAAAACCTTGTGGGCTTTCCCCTTTGGCCCAAATAAAGTGTTCTCGTACCCAAACATTTCGGGAAACATCCGGAACCCCTTCCGGTGAATTCCGAAACCCTTCCGGTAACCGAACACTATTATCCCATATATCAAACTTTGTCTCCGGACCATTCCGGAGTTCCTCATCATGTTCGTGATCTCATCCCGGACTCCGAACAACATTCGGTCACCAACATACATAACTCATATAGTACTATATCGCCAATAAACGTTAAGCGTGCGGACCCTACGGGTTTGAGAACTATGTAGACATGACCGAGGCACCTCTCTGGTCAATAACCAATAGCGGGACCTGGATGCCCATATTAGCTCCTACATATTCTACGAAGATCTTTATCGGTCAGACCGCATAAGAACATACATTGTTCCCTTTGTCATCAGTATGTTACTTGCCCGAGATTCGATCGTCGGTATCGCAATACCTAGTTCAATCTCGTTACCGGCAAGTTTCTTTACTCATTCCGTAATACATCATCCCGCAACTAACTCATTAGTTGCAATGCTTGCAAGGCTTATAGTGATGTGCATTACCGAGTGGGCTCAGGGATACCTCTCCGACAATCGGAGTGACAAATCCTAATCTCGAAATACGCCAACCCAACAAGTACCTTTGGAGACACCTGTAGAGCACCTTTATAATCACCCAGTTACGTTGTGACGTTTGGTGGCACACAAAGTGTTCCTCTGGTAAACGGGAGTTGCATAATCTCATAGTCATAGGAACATGTATAAGTCATGAAGAAAGCAATAGCAACAAACTAAACGATCAAGTGCTAAGCTAACGAAATGGGTCAAGTCAATCATATCATTCTCCTAATGATGTGATCCCGTTAATCAAATGACAACTCATGTCTATGGTTAGGAAACATAACCATCTTCGATCAATGAGCTAGTCAAGTAGAGGCATATTAGTGACACTCTGTTTGTCTATGTATTCACACATGTATTATGTTTTCGGTTAATACAATTCTAGCATGAATAATAAACATTTATCATGATATAAGGAAATAAATAATAACTTTATTATTGCCTCTAGGGCATATTTCCTTCAGTCTCCCACTTGCACTAGAGTCAATAGTCTAGTTCACATCTCCATGTGATTTAACACCAATAGTTCACATCGTCATGTGACCAACACCCAAAGGGTTTACTAGAGTCAACAATCTAGTTCACATTGCTATGTGATTAACACCCAATGAGTACTAAGGTATGATCATGTTTTGCTTGTGAGAGAAGTTTAGTCTACGGGTTTGCCACATTCAGATCCATATGTATTTTGCAAATTTCTATGTCAACAATGCTCTACACGGAGCTACTCTAACTAATTGCTCCTACTTTCAAAATGTATCCAGTTTGAGATTTAGAGTCATCTGGATCAGTGTCAAAATTTGCATCGACGTAACCCTCTACGACGAACCTTTTTGTCACCTCCATAATCGAGAAACATATCCTTATTCCACTAAGGATAATTTTGACCGTTGTCCAGTGATCTACTCCTAGATCACTATTGTACTCCCTTGCCAAAAACAGTGTAGGGTATACAATAGATCAGGTACACAGCATGGCATATTTTATAGAACCTATGGCCAAGGCATAGGGAATGACTTTCATTCTCTTTCTATCTTCTGCCGTGGTCGGGCTTTGAGTCTTACTCAGTTTCACACCTTGTAACACATGCAAGAACTCTTTCTTTGACTGTCCTATTTTGAACTACTTCAAAATCTTGTCAAGGTATATACTCATTGAAAAAACTTATCAAGCGTCTTGATCTATCTCTATAGATCTTGATGCTCAATATGCAAGAAGCTTCACCGAGGTCTTTCTTTGAAAAACTCCTTTCAAACACTCCTTTATGCTTTGCAGAATAATTCTACATTATCTCCGATCAACAATATGTCATTCACATATACTTATCAGAAATGTTTTAGTGCTCTCACTCACTTTCTTGTAAATATAGACTTCACCGCAAGTCTGTATAAAACTATATGCTTTGATCAACTTATCAAAGCGTATATTCCAACTTCGAGATGCTTGCACCAGTTCATAGATGGATCGCTGGAACTTGCATATTTTGTTAGCACCTTTAGGATTGACAAAACTTTCTTGTTGCATCATATACAACTCTTCTTTAATAAATCCATTAAGAAATGTTGTTTTGTTTATCTATTTGCCAGATTTCATAAAATATGGCAATTGCTAACATGATTCGGACAGACTTAAGCATAGATACGAGTGAGAAACTCTCATCGTAGTCAACACCTTGAACTTGTCGAAAACCTTTTGCGACAATTCTAGCTTTGTAGATAGTAACACTACTATCAGCGTCCGTCTTCCTCTTAAAGATCCATTTAATCTCAATGGCTCGCCGATCTTTGGGCAAGTCAATCAAAGTCCATACTTTGTTCTTATACATGGATCTCATCTCAGATTTCATGGCCTCAAGACATTTCGCGGAATCTGGGCTCATCATCGCTTCCTCATAGTTCGTAGGTTCGTCATGGTCAAGTAACATGACCTCCAGAACAGGATTACCGTACCACTCTGGTGCGGATCTCACTCTGGTTTACCTACGAGGTTCGGTAGTAACTTGACGTGAAGTTACATGATCATCATCATTAGCTTCCTCACTAATTGGTGTAGTAGTCACAAAACAGATTTCTGTGATGAACTACTTTCCAATAAGGGAGCAGGTACAATTACCTCATCAAGTTCTACTTTCCTCCCACTCACTTCTTTCAAGAGAAACTCCTTCTCTAGAAAGGATCCATTCTCAGCAAGTGATAACTTGCCTTTGGATCTGTGATAGAAGGTGTACCCAACATTTTCTTTTGGGTATCCTATGAAGACGCACTTCTCTGATTTGGGTTTGAGCTTATCAGGTTGAAACTTTTCCACATAAGCATTGCAACCTCAAAATTTAAGAAACGACAGCTTAGGTTTCTTGCCAAACCATAGTTCATACGGTGTCGTCTCAATGGATTTAGATGGTGCCCTATTTAACGTGAATGTAGCTGTCTCTAATGCATAACCCCAAAAAGATAGTGGTAAATCGGTAAGAGACATCATAGATCACACCATATCTAATAAAGTATGGTTACTACGTTCGGACACACCATTACACTGTGGTGTTCCAGGTGGCGTGAGTAGTGAAACTATTTC